CAAATCCATCCAATATCAAAGCTGACGGTGATCCGCCAAGTTGCAGGTTAAGGCGAGCGAGCCTCGGAGACTTAAACCCGACTGGCACCAGGTCCATCACTCACTCCAGCCAGCCAGAAAGAACACGGATCGACCGCCTTGTTTCCAATACCATCCGACAGGCGGATATCCATACAGTGTGCTTGCAAATCGACCTTGATGGTGCATTTCATGTTGCAGTTCCAGTTCTTCGCAGCGTCCGATAGGCCCCGTCAGCCACTGGCCCGTAGCCGTCTCTCGTACTGTACTGCCCTGTCTGTACGTGCCCATGCCCCCATTGCGCTCCAGCTGCTTGTACAGGTACCGTACAGTGCTGACCACGGGCACCACCCGCCTGTGCTCGCTGCATCCAATCCTCTGGCCACTTTCAGTTTCATGTCAAGTTTTTTTTCTCTCTCTCTTCCCCCCTACTTGCATTTTTTCCCTCTCCTCCATCACCAATTTCTTCGTTCCCGCCTTGGCCTCTGTGTAGCAGCGCCGCTCTCTTTTTCTTTCGCCCTCAACTGCGCTTCTCTCTCTCTCTCCTCTCCTCTCCTCTCACCATCTCTCTTCTCTTTAGACTCGAAACTTCAAATCTCCAGCACAGATACAGCAGAACAGCGCCTTGTCCACCAAACAATCTGCGCGCTAAGCCGGTTCCCGCAGTCCAGAGCTGGTTTGGTTCGGCCCCGCTTCGTCTTCATTTCTCCCGAGACCCCTTTACTTGACGATTTGACGCCTCTGCATTTTCGTCGCGCCGCGGCTTTTTCCCTCTTCTTTTCCTTCTTTTTCTTCTTTTCCCTCTCTCTGTCCTCCGTCCTCCGTCCTCCTTCGCCCGACGAATCCCCAGCCGACGCCCAAGCACGGCCGTGTCCTTGTTTTCTCCCGGGGGTGAGTGTCTCGTCTGCCCTGTCCTGTCCTGTCTGTCCCGCCTGGTCTCCTCCTGGCCCGGCCGTGAGGCTGAGCGGAAATTTGCTTTTGCTTTGCCACGACGTCGCTCGCCGCCTCGCTTGATGCCAGGCCCTCGCTTCCCCTCCACGGGCCTCGTCGGGCTGTTAGTCTACCAGGTCGCTCTGCTCTGGGAGAGACGTCGCATCTTCAGCGCCCCCCCGGCTGACAGCTGCAAAATCCCTTGGCCGTGGGGAAACCTGATATGACGCCGTTTTCCATTATCCATGGCCCCACAAATAGCATTTGACCGCAACTTTTGCTGGGTTTTATCTCGCATCCTCACTAACACCCTCTGAATCTCCAGCCCTCAAGAGAGTCGTCCATCGCCATCGCCATCGCCGTGTCTCCGTCCCTCGACCGATTCCTGTCCCCGACGCAAACAATGTCCTACTACGACAATCCCCAGTGGTCGGCTCCGGCCCAGAACAACTGGGACCACCACGGCGCGAGCACTCCTGTTCGCGCAGGTACGTTGCGCGCCCTCTCTGTTCTTCGACTCTGGGCGCCGCGACTAACGAGCTGATGCCCGCAGGTGCCAACGGACCGCAGCCCCAGGATGACTATGCCTTTTCGTATCAATTTGATGGTACGTACAGACGGATGGTGGCGTTTCCGGCCCATGGTGCAACCACGTTGCAACTGTCAATTTTGCTTTTGGGTTGCTGTCGGTAGTGCGCCAAATCTGCCACTCCTGCTGCTCCTGATGTCAGGGAATTTGGACTCTTGCGACGACACCTTATGGGCCTCTACTTCCTCTCTTCCTCCTTCTCGCCCACTTTGGCATGTTCGTCTAGAATAGCTGCTAACTCGTTGACGTATAGAGGTTGATCGTGCCCACGAAAACTTGCAGAAATCCGGCAAAGGCTATGCCATGGGTGCGCGACGTGAGTTTTCCATACCCTACTAGCTGTCGCTGGTTACAAAAGAAGACAAAAAACAAACAGACAAAACCCCCTTCTTCTCCTCTCTCACCCCCCACTCCTACTTGTCGTAAGTAGCCAAGGGCCTCCAGCAGGCCCTCAGAAGAGTCCCATGGCTAACCGCGTAACTCTTATTCCCCCCTTATAGATGGTCGAATGGGTGGTCCTCGTGCTCATTCTGTTAACAACTTCGATGACGCTCGTGGCTCTCAGGGAGCAAACCTCCACAATTTCTATGCCGCCCAGCGTCACCAGTCTTCTCGAGGCTCCAACGAGGCGGAGCAGGTCATGCAGGCTAAGAGAAGGATGGCGGCTCAGCGGGAGCGTGAGCTTCGAAACCTCCACACGGAGCAGCAATATCAACGAAGTAGGCCTCCCTCAACTGTGTAGCACTTCCTATCTTCCTATTCAAAAAGGAGTTCCCAAGCCAGAAAAAAAATAATTAAAAAAAATGTTATTGGCCAATGGGGTGGTTCAAGATGGACACCTGCCTGTTCCGCCGAGTCTTTTGTCTTTCTCACCCCGAGCCATTTTGTTGCCGGGAAGGCCGTTTCCTTTCTCTGAGACGGCATCTCGGGTCCTGTTTTTTTGTTTGGATTTCTCTTGTCAATTGTCTACGTCGTGTTTATGGTTCAGCGTCGGGGATGGTGGGCAACACGTGCTAACGACTCTTTTTCTCTCGACGTAGGTGTCTTGTCTGATGTTGCCACCCAGCAGGGAAACAACAAGCATATGACGGAGGAGGAGACTCGTGATCTCATTGCTCGCCAGCGCAGCGCTCTGTATGGAGAAGGCACCTTTGCCGACAAGGGCGGCTACATTGACGAGACTGGCAACATCCGCGCCGGAGCCCCCGGTCCCAGCGGCCCTGCAAGCCTGCGCGGCCACTCCCCCCTTGCTTATGACAGCATTGGCCGCGTCCCGGCCGACGTGGGAACTCCGGGATCGGGCGCTGATCTCAACGCGGCTGACATCGGCTCGCGGCCCCAGAGCACCACCAGCCCTCAGACCGCTGGACCGACAAACAAGGTGTTTGACAACGCCGTCGGCTCCCAGAGCCGCACCAGCACCTCCAGCCCGACCAACGCGTCTCCCCCCCGCGGCGACTTTGGACCTGGTTCCAAGGTTTCTCAGGGGGCTGCCGTTGCCCCCATTGGAACTCGTCCCACGGGAACTCCCACGGGCAGCGCTTCTGCCAAGCGCTCCAGCACTCCCCACGCCGCAAATGGCTGGGGCCGCGGTAACGGTGTTTGGGGTCAGTCTGGCCTCGGTGCTCAAGCCAGCGTCTGGGGTTAGAGTCAGTCAGTTTATCATTTGCGGCGGCGTTGAAAGGTGGTTGCAACTCTTTTCTTTTCGTCTTTTTTTCCTTCTTTTTTTTTTCTGGCTGGAGGAGCAAGGAGAAGAGCAAGTTGAATTGTTGCATTAGTAGAAAAAAACAAAGGCGCTGGGGAGGCAAGGGAATGGATCCATTTGGCATTTTCGTTTGGTCATTTTTGGTCAAGGCGGTTGATTTCGGTCTTCGCGTTTTGTTTTTTTTCGCTGGGTAGTCTTTGGTACGATATTCGGCGAAGAAAGGTATTGCGAGGCATTTCCGGGCGATTACGACAAAGGCAAAAATAAGGGGTCGGGAGGGAGGCTTGCTCTACTCTATACCTGGGATTCTGGAATTGGGATGGCCTGTTGGGTGAACTCGACAGAGGAGCAAGGGCATCCGGGTAGGAGTTTTATCTTGCTTTTGGCGCAGGATTTGGGAACTGGAATGAGGAGTTGCGTCCTTGGTTGCGACAGCGGCGTATCCTTTTTTGAGTTTTGGCGACTCGATTTACATGCGGCGGTGGGATTACAAAATTGAACAGGAGCACTTTTGGAGAGCGGTTGGCTGGGAGAATGGAAAGGGAGGGTTCGTTCGTTGGCCGGAGTCGGCTATGGAGTAAGTTTCATTTGCTGGCAGGGAAACAAAAATGTGATGGTCAATATCCCGGGACATATGGAGAGGCGTTCCATTGGGCTACCGGTAAGACTGGCAAAGATGGAAAACAACAAAAGTACACGACATGCGCCTTTTTGCTGGCTAGGATCTTTGATTTGGGAGGAACATGGAAACGGGGGATGTCTGGTGCTCAAAGGACCCGAGGAAAAAACAACAGAAAGAACTTTTACAAAAAGCGGCAAAAAAAAAAAACAAAGACATGAAAACGGTGGGTGAGAGAAAAGGGGCAGGGAGTTGAGCACGAAGCGGCGGGAACTCTTGGGGGGGTGGTTTAGGACTTTGGCTTTCCTTGTGTTTTTACTTTTTTTTTTCTTTTCTCTTCTCTACTGGGCGGCTCTGGGGATTAGGCTTGGACTTCTTTTTGTTAACGGATCGTTTATTCTCTCTCCTCTTGGAGGGAACGGGAATTATGGGGTTTTTTGACTTGCTTGCTTGCTATCAAAGGGGAGGGTTTGCTTTTCAGTGTTGACAAACGGTCTCTGCCTCCTTTATATTAACCTTGGGGGAAACTACAGGCGTAAAGTCCGCTTGAATTGGTTTTCGGGGGAGGGAAAGACGAATGAATAATTGGGAGGGGGAGGGGATTTTATAGTCGACAATGCTAGCTAGCAAAGAATAATGGGAGAAACGGGTTTGGGAAATGATGCTCGAGATTTTGATCGATTTTGATGTCTTGTTGATGGGAATTGGTGGAGTGTAGTATACCATGAGGTTTATTATGATATATGAAGATTGATATATGGACAAGAAATAGCTACAAGACAAACCGTGTCTTGACATTGGTATATGTGATGATGATCTATAGGTCACTTGGTCGGTATGTTTGACAACGTATAGCTCCAAGCTTTATATTGATCCGCCAAGATTATATACTGGAAGAAGAAGGGGGATGATAACAGAGACTCCAAGAGAGCAACTGCAATCATGAAAAGATTAAGACATTAGTAATGTTAGTTAACAACAGAACCAAGAAGAATAAAACACATTGCATCCAATGTTGAACTCGTCAAATATAGATCGCCGGGTATCGAATAGCCAAGTTGGAGTGCTGGATAACATCACTCCCTTTTAAACATGTACACAAATCTTTCCTTCTTCACCACAATGGTATCCCACCGCAATCACAGCATCAACAACTTCGCCCCTTCATCCAAATCCATCACATCATCCGCACTCGCCGCCTTGCCGCCCCAAACGACTGTCCCCCTCCCGTCCACCGCAAAAGCCCCCGCCTCCTGCCACTTGCTCCCCAGTTCCGTCAACGAGCCATTCTCCGCCGGCTCCTCAGCTGCACGCCCCTTTCTGGGCTCCGTATATCTGCCCGCCATCTCCCTCTTGCTCCTGCTGTTGCTTCGCTGGATGGCCCCGGCCACTCGGTCCCCCAGCCAGCCCGTTTCCTTCCACGATTGGACTTGGGTGGACGGGCTGAGGACGTACCAGATACTGCTTGCCGTACCGAGGCCCCAGGCAGCGTAGATGGAGCGCTCCTGGTCGATGACCATCTGGACGTTCCATGAGCCGCCGAGTAGGTCGATCCATTTGTATGTGGCTCGTTCGGACGAGTGGGAAACGGCGATGCAGGTGATGGAGCCGGCATGGCGGTTTGCTATTGCGCGGAGCTTGAGGAACGTCTTTTGGGCGACTGTATATGTATACCTTTTCGTTAGATGAATTCAAACTTGCGTCATGATGTATGCACGATGAATGCATGTTGGATCTCAAAAGCGGCTTCACCACACATCGCACCGACGACGATGACGGATACATAAAAGACTTACAAGCACACCCGACACACCGCAGAAACACAACCAGGCACCTTGTCCTCCCTCCCAGCTGAAGCCTCCTCTGCCGATCCAGCGGCGCGACCTGTCCGACCCGAGGCACCGGCGCCAGCTTCACCGGAGGCGGCGGCGGAGACAGCCAAGGGTGGACTTTGAGCGGCAGCGACGTGGTCGACATCCATGTGCCCCAGGCGCCGCCCTGGGCATCATCTCCGGTGCCTGTGCGTTTTCCTGTGCTTGTCCGGGACGGCGCGGCAAGTGCTGACAGGTCCAAGTCGTTGCTCGAGAGGCCGACCTTTTTCAGGGCGAGCTTTGTGCTGAGGCTAGAGAGCATGGCTGAGTATGTGCGTGTGTGAATATCAGGAGGCAAATGAGGAGGGCGTCGTATGAAGCGCTCCACTCGGATCGCCCAGGTCAACGATTGATTAGGAAGAGTTCGTTCTTCGGTCGGCCAAAGATCCCGTCGATGAGCAGAAACAATAAAAAAAAGTGTCTTTGGTGATTCATCCCTTCAACCTCCATGCGATGCTCTCCCTACCCCGTTGTTGGTAATGCTGCCACTAAGCAAGCACCGTCATCCTGTTAATTGTATCCAAGAAACAAACCTGATACACAGGGGGTTTCCGAAGCTGCTCCGACACCAACAACAATCAGAAACACTAGGCAGCCCCGAAACAATTTTGCTGCTGAGCACTGACACCCTGTTTGTTTCTTCATTTTCCCTTTCATTTTCCTCATGGGCTTTTCAGGGTCCTGGCCGGGGTTCTCTTGCGACAGGGGCTTCCGATTGGTTGGCGGATTGCGGAGGTTAAATCGAATGCTCACTTGAGAACACAGCAAAGATAAAAGCATCTTGTGTTTTATATGGGCATGTCTGTGTGCGACTACATCGAAGCCTCTTTGGCTTAAGCATAATGTAGCCTTTTCTGGCGAGTTGTCCCTTGGTGCCTTTCGGGATTACGAAAGACTGCCAATTTGCCACCAACTCCTGCATGGATCATAGCTCCAAGGAGTGTCTTGACAGATTCCAAATTCTCAGACACGGAACAAGGCCAGCAAAGCCGCGTCTGTCTGAGGATCCACTGAGAGATTCGGCCATGGTTGGCCAGTCAAAGTACTACCTGTGTGTGAACAAGTTGCCCAGGTTCGCTGTATAGCCACCTGCATTTGGCAGATGGGTTACACCGGCCCGTCTTTGAAGTAGCACAAGGCTCGTGTTGCTGGCAAGTCAAGGCGCATAGTACTGTAGGGCTGAAGGGAATACCTCAACTTGGTTGGAAAGCAGAGACCCGATGGACAGGCAGATCGACAGCAAATCTCGTACTGACTGCGCCTCACCCTGCCTGACATCAGACGAAGTTTTGGGAGCGGAACCAAGATAATGTCAGCTGAGAATGTCTTGGACATTGTCGCCCTGAGTACAGCATAGCCCCACGAAGTATGGTGACAACTAGCTCGATCGCTGAAATGGAGATCCGAGTTATGCTGTGTCTGGGTAACGAGAAGGCACAAGAACATCCTTTTGCTTATGCATCTATGATGGGGCCATTGGCCTGGCTGAACGTATCTGCGGATAAAAGATATCCGACGTGCATCTGATTCAGCTTGACTTTGGCCATGCCAAATTATGGTCATGTGTGGTAAGCCTGCCGGAGCTGTCTCTCCAAGCAAGATACCGCCAGTAGATGGGTCAAGGGAGACTATTGATTTGCCACTGAGCCGTAAGACCAACGAGATATGCTAAAGGGAACTTATTGTCTAGCGTCTCCTAACATGCAGAGCCTTGTCCTGCTTCGTGAGAGTAAGATTGGCACTTGCCAAAGCCAAGGAAGTAGATGAACAAATCATAGTCGACCGTCTAAAGTTGAGACGGAGCACAAAAGCTTGGCCATGTTTCCTGTTTTTTTCCTTTGGCAAGCAAAGTTGCTCAACGTCAGAGTACGGTAAAACGGCAACGGCATGTAATGAATGGGCCCGTTGCATTGCATAAAGTGACGGGGTGATACGCGGGTCTGGTATAAGGCGGAGGCGGAGGCATCTCGGATCCTCTTCGCGATACTTGGCAACGGCTATGATCATGATAGCTGAAAATCCAGATTTGACGCGGCTAAATGGCTACCCGGTGGCATTGCGGCACATTTCTTGACAAATGGTGAATCAGCCTGATAGCATACAGTAGTGCACGAGAAAGATTAGGAAGAGGGAGAAGGAAGAGAGAAGGAGGAAAACGCCAAGCCAGACGAAAGAACGACAATGATCTGGGCAGCCGGCATTACTCTCTGTATTGGTGCTTACAGCCCTGCACAACATACATGGAACGCTTTTGGGCATCTCACATCGGCAAGGGCGCTGTGGTGAGCATTTAGATCGGGCCAAAGGCACCCGACATGCCCTTCCGAGAAGACCTGCTATATTTGCCAGGCATCGTACGGGTATGGTTCGAATAGACAACGATCAGATATACTTTACCTGGTGAGCGACGAGCCGGAGCCTGCCGGGTGTTTGGAAAGATCTGCCAGCCTAGTCCCAAGCAAGCTCGTCTGGGCCCATGGGAGGCCGCATGTCTATTTTCCCAGCTGCAAATCAGGTGGTGAGTGGGTGGAGCGAGGATAAGCGTCAGGATGCAGAGCCGTGTAAGGGACCCAAGGGTTCTGGACTTTATCTTGCGCGAGAGATGGCTGTGCCGGATTTCTTGCCAAGGCGCCGAGGACTATGTGTATGACGAGGGCTTGGTGAGTCTCTCCCCGAGGATTCATGGATGCCTGCCTGTGCTCGTGCGAGTATGTGTGCTCGGTGTTCTGGAATCGTGCTGTCTATCAAAATCGTGAGTCGAGATGCGAGTGCAGAGGGTATAGGAGGCAACGCTGCTGCGCCCACCCATACGCAGCAGGTGTCACATACCATGTCATACCGTACCATACAAAATGCAGAGAGCAGAAAACAGAATGGCCCCGGCAACTAGAGGCCAGACACAGGCACCTGAAAATGGGTAGCTGCACATGCATCTGTCACAGTTACCATCGTCACTCGGCTTCCCCAGAGCGGGTGGTGGCCTGCCCATTGCACACTAGCCTAGCCGCCTTTGGGGTGCTTGTTACACCTGTGGAGCTGGAGTGAGCCCAGAAAAGAAGCATCCAAATCGAGGCCATCGCAGGTTGGGTTGCGGGCGCAACGTGTGAGCGAGCGAGTGAGGGCGAGGGCAGAAAACGATGGGATACTGTATACTGTACACTACAGGTACAGACACAGAGAAAGAGCATCAACGATTGCCACCGGCGGGTCGTATCAAGGCAGCGGATGGCGCCTGTTGGCAAAAGCAACAGCAGCCGCATTCAAATTTCTTGCGCTCTGCCGCCTGTAGTCTGTAAACAGCTTTGGTGGCTTATGCTCAACTCGTATCGATGCCCACTTGCCACTGCACCTTGAGGGCCCGAGGCACCAAAGCAAGTATCTGAGCTTGATTTAAGGCGTTGGTGGAGGCGGAATGGGACATTGGATACAACAAAATAAATTGAAGGACGACGATGGTGATGATGGGAGATGGAGATGGAGATGGGTGGATTTGGTTGAGTGATGTGATTGATGGGTAAAAATGAAACCTGCTCGACAAAAAGGTGTGCACACTAAAGCCGCAGGTACGATGCGGTGCGGTGCGGTGCGGTGCGGTGCGATGCAGCAGGTGCGGTACAGCGAGGGATTGGCCCGAAAGGGAGTTGAGTTGAATGAGTCCATCTACAGGTACCTGCACAAGGTGGGAGTAGGACTACATGTACACGACCTATACCTGTACCGATACCCAACACATGCAGACTGTTGGTACCTCAGCCTGGATGGACGGGTACATATCCTTGATCGTGCAATTGTGCCTTATGTTGCAGCAAGGCCAAGATGACGGCTGGCTTCGTCATATCCGTGCTACACGGCACAACACTTTCAACTACCTAGGTATCTGTTGCCATTTAACACCTCCCAGGACATGTGCTGGCTGTATAAAAATCCCTCCACTGCATCTCCATGCATGCGGATGCGGCGGGCTCTCACCCAATGGCCGGCAAAACAGACGTCGCATTTGGGGGCTCAATTCAATTCCACCTGCCAAACCGATATCCCATGCTGGGCCACATTGGCATTTGACGACGGTTCATTTGCTGACGGTGCCTGGTGTCAATTCGACATGTAAATGATGATACTGTCTACTTGACATGGTAGTACCCAATAGAGGCATCGATGCAGATGTACACGTATGCCATGCCATACTACCACCGGCATCTCCATCTACCTGTTCGGCATCCATCATTCATCACAATGTCAACCTGGATCGATTGTAGAGTGCCTACGAGTGCAAGTAGCAGCACCACTTCGTGAAGCCCGCCCGCCATTCCTGCTAGGCTGCTAGCACGTCGAAAAGGGCACACAGGCATACCCTCGTGTTCCCTTCATTGAGCTAATCCTCCGTGTTCCAGATTGAGAAACATGGACCGTCATTCAACAACCTGAACCTTGGCTACTACGGGACCCCGTGTTTCCGGCTGCTTAAATGCCCCTTGGTAAGGTCCAGTACCAGTGACTGTGTGAGTACCTCCACGCTCAGGCGAAAAGTCTTTGTACTTGTACTTGTAATCCGCTCTGCTCATAGGTACGTTCGAGTACTCGTACCAGACATTCTACATTTACCCAGCCCAGGAGTTCAATTTAGCAGTCGTGCCGAGCAGCCAGCCACTACCAAGGTACCTGGGAGCACTAACCTATTTGATGGGATCAAAGCCGCTCATTGGCAAATACAATTGTGTACCATATACTGTTGGGAGCAACATTCCCAATACTACTAAGGTAGTAGTCATTCAATTGATTCATGGTATTATAAAATGTCGATACTACAGGTAATATGCTGCATGTCCCCCCATCTTTGTTGCGGTACGGCTCAACTCTACGTCACGACGGGAACTGCCCGCGCCGAGGACAATCAATCACGTGGCGCATCTCTCACAATATCATTGTACTTGAGCCCGTGGGCGGTGGCGCGCCAACTGTGAAGTAGCGCCCTACCAGTTGCTACCACCGAGCGACGATCGGATTGGATCCATTTCATCAATGAATTAAACGCGTCTCTGCTAGCACAGACGAGGTAGCGCGTACAGTTTACAGGGTACATGTATCTGTACAAGCCCCAAGATCAAATGGATGCCTTCCAACTGCTTTAGGTAAGGCAGTTATAGGGATAGCGCCAAAGCGTCCATCGGATTTAGCATAATCCAATCCGTCCATCCATATGATCAACTGAGCAGTCGATTCGATTCCAAGCGGTCTGAGATTGCTGTTGGATGATGTACGAGTACTTGTACAGTATGCTGTAGGACGGTTGGGTACAGGTTTCTTCATGCCAGCTGCTGTTGCCCCTCCAACTTGAAATGTAGAAAACGGGCGACGGGGGTCAAGTGTCTTGCGGAGACACCCGAGGCAAAGTATACTCGTAGTATCAAATACAGAACTGGAGTGCCGGGTGTCTGCAGCAGAGCCTTGGCCAGCTATTACCTATGCCGGTACAGGTACGAACAAGACCCCGAATGTGGCCGGGCATTTACGGTCAATATCGATGCTAGCACTGTACGAGTTATTACGGTGGAAGCAATTGAAGAGCTTCGAGGCACAGTAGTGTTGACGGATGCTGTTTCTTGCGTCCTGGGGAATCCCCAGTTTGAGTGATTTCGGCCTCCCCTGAGAGAGACGGAGAACATGTTGGGAGCATGGGGGGCCAGGTACCTCGCATGTACCAGGCATCCAGGTAATCAAACTGACCCCGTGTTCAATTGACATTTTTTCTCGTACGAGCACCAATGACCACTTAGTAATGCTCACACGGGGATTGGAATTGGTCACCATGATTTGATGCCGTCTTTGCAAGAACCGTGCAAGATTTGATATTGTTAGAATAAATCCGCTTCTCTGCCCTGCCTTGTAACAACACGCTCGTCTCCGCGGATACAAAATTAGCAGCATCTGCCACGGCGCCATGTTCATCTTGACACGCGAGATTGGCGAAATTGTTCTTCAATTTGAGCACCAGACAGACCAGGCATGAATGAGCGACCTGAAGCGCGCAGCGGTACCTGGTAGGTACGAGTACATGTACATACCTTACGCGACCACGGCCCTCCGCCAGAAAGTAGCCCGGCTCTGGCATAGCCCTAGACGGGCAGGTCCTGGTAGGTACCTACCTAGTACCTAGACCGGACTAGCAGTTCTCTAGAACCCCCTAAGAAGCACCGCACGGCAGCTGTCGATTCCGCGTTTACCTGGACCTGGAACCTGCAGTGCACGGAATTGATATACCTGTGCCAGTGGACAAATGAGCAATGTACCCGTACAGGGCCCCGACCACCCGCTGGCGTCACTCAACACGGGGTCCGTCATTGACCTCCAAGTGCTCCATGGAACCACTGGGCAGGGTCCCGCTAGGGCCAAGGTCGTGGCGAGGAGGTACCGGTACTTGCGCCCTGTGAAGTTGATTGGACTGAGGACATCCGTCCATCCAATACATTACATGGACCACATGCGCGTGAACCCTCTGCCTGAGCGACCAGGCACCAAACTATATGTATCGGTGTCTGGTATCATGGATTGATGCTTTGTTGGCGTCCTCGTTTGGTTAATGCTTACTGGACGAGTTGACTGTAGGTACTGATGGACCGTCTAATCAAGTGAATGAATCTGCATGCGCCTTGCCTTGCCTTGTCTTGCACGGCCTCGACTGAAATTGCCCAACCTGGTTCCCGGGAGCCCGCCGCAGGTCTGAATTGGAAATTCAAGGGCCTGCCTAGCAACCCAGCGTGTCTCGTCTGCCTCCTGTTGGCGAATGGCCTGCCGACCGCCTCGTCCAATCAGTGGCAGCCCCCGACTCTGGACTGCACTATCCACTAAAGCCTTCAGTGGGCGGGCCAGACACTTTGGGCCAAGTCGAGAGCAACTTGCAATGATCTAGTGTTGTACCTAGTAGTGTGTAGTGTGATTATACAATGATTCCATGATATACAGTTGACACGAACGCATCCAAGTCTCTCTCGTTGGCTGTTGTGCTGTGAGCAAGTCCGTCGCACTGTCTAACCCAAGCACAGGCACAGGCACAAGCACAAGCACCGCCCAGCTATACCGCTACGGGGCATCAGCAGCAGTGGGCAGCTGTCACAGTCGCAGCACAGTACGAATCAGGTACTTGCACCTCCAACCGCGTTACGAGTACCCGCTACTTTGCGTCGCGGACTCTCAAGTACCGCTACTCCGTGGCCAGCCAGCCAAGTGGAGGCTTTGCACCACACCTCACCTCTCTTCGCTCGCTGACCTGCATTCACAAGTTCCCCATCCAGCAGCAACGGCTTGCGGACGGCTTCTCGACGTTGTTCTACTTCGTCGGCCCTCTGTTTTGTCATCACCATTCTTTTCTTTTCTTCTTGTTCCTTTTCTTCTCCCGCGCCTGTTGTTTGCCTGCCTCTGTCCTGCGAGCCGCCGCCCCAGACGCCTCGAGAGCAATTCCCTCGACGCCCGTCCGCGAAACCCCCTTTTGTGTCTTCAATCGCTCGTCCTCCAGCTTTCCCCGTCTCGACAGCGGCTCGTCTCGTCCTCTTCGCGATACCGTCTGCCTTTGCCCGTACCCGCGCCCTCTTCACCGAGTCTGGGCCCGCGTCTTTGCCGTCGCCGATTCTTTTCCTGCCGCCCATCCTGTGGGCCCGCAAAGCATCCATTCATCCATTCCTCTCTTCTCTTCTTCGTCCGTCGTCAAGAGACACCAACACGCAAGTCCTTGCGCTATCCGGATCCTGACTCCTCTACGACCGCTTCCCCTTCTCGCCTTGCACAACCCGCTCCTCTGATCGTCCCGCCCCCCTTGGCGCTTGACAAGGCAGGCGGAAGCAACCACAGATCGCAGCCCACCCCTCGAATAGCCGTCGCACCGCCCACCCCCAGCGGTAGTTAACCGATCCAGTCACCGACGAAGCCAGTACGTCCATCTCGGTCGGCTGCAGACGTCGCCTCGGCGGCCTACACGCATCTACACAGTCGGGAGTCTTCCTCGTTCCATGGACGCCCGGACCCAAGCGTCCGAAACCCAGCATTCTTACCCCCCCAGCCCGTGGACGTCAACACCGACGACTCCAAACGGGCTGACGGCGCACCTCCCAGACGGGTCCCAGGACTCTGCCTCTGCTGCCGCCGCCAACAATCTACAGTTTACTCCCCACATCGGCTTCCTCCCGTTCATCTTCCCGCAGCAGTCCCTATATCAGGCCCAGCTTCTCCATTACAATAAACTCATCTCCCCGGCAAGAGGAGGTGGCCTACAGTCTGCGCCACTTCCTCCCATCGTGTCCGTTCCTCACGTCCAGGCCACGTCAAGGTCGCGATCTTCTAGCAAAGCATCGCTCAGGGATAGTGCCACCACCGCCAAGGGGAGCGCAACTGGAGGCCATGGGAGCCGCGCACACCAGGGCTCAGACAAGAACCGCCCGGTTATAACGCCCAAGGAGGTTCCGCCCAAGATGCCCGCAAAGCTAGCGGCCGACTTGTCCAAAAACTTCCCTCATCGAGCGATAGCTAGGTCCTCATCGCCCCACGGACTCTCCCACTCCAGCTCCGTGCCTTCTACTCCCCACCAACATGCCCGCCAATTCTCCTTTGAGTCCCGGGAACCGTCCCCCAACGCCGGCAACAACCACTCGCCGCGCTCAGCCTACTCCGAGACCAACAGTGCGCTGCCCTCGTTGCGGCCGCTGCCCCCGCGATTAGGGGGCTGCAAATACGAGACCGCCCAGATCAACTCAAGAAGAAGGATACCCTACTCGGTCGGGAACGAGCGCTTGGAGAAGTTGGATCTGCGCAATGTCAAAAGCAAGTTGTCGGAGAGCGAAGAGAAGCAGTTGGCCGCAGATATGAATGAAATCTATAACAAGCTGCTGCCCACGGAAAAGGTGGAGGAAAATAGGAGGAAGCTGGTGAATAAGCTGGAGACGATATTCAATACCGAGTGGCCAGGGCATGACATCAAGGTGCACCTGTTTGGATCGTCTGGTAATCTTCTATGTTCGGACGACTCCGACGGTATGTTTTCTTCTCCCCCTTGTCCCCTCCTCCCCAACTTTTAATGCTGGGCATCACAGCCTCTCTAACACACGTATGCCAGTTGACATTTGCATCACAACATCGTGGCACGAGATGGAAGATGTTTGCATGATAGCCGACCTTCTCGCTCGAAGTAAGTTGCTCTTTTCCCGTCGCTTTTGTCAATCAACAGGCCCCCTCTCTTGACGACGACACTAATGCTGTTGAATAGGGGGCATGGAAAAGGTTGTCTGCATCTCTGCCGCCAAAGTTCCCATTGTGAAGATTTGGGATCCTGAGCTCGGCCTTGCGTGTGATATGAATGTCAACAATACCCTGGCGCTGGAGAATACTCGCATGGTGCGCACATATGTCGAAGCTGACCCGCGTGTGCGAATGCTGGCAATGATCCTGAAGCACTGGACGCGGAGGAGAATTGTCAACGATGCCGGTATGGTCCCCCCTCACCAACGTGAAAATCCGACGGACGCCACCGTGATCCTTTGAATCTTCTTGTCCTAACTTGATTCTAGCTTTTGGAGGTACTCTGAGCTCCTACACTTGGATATGTCTCATCATTGTGTTTTTGCAGCTGCGGAACCCTCCTGTTTTACCAGCGCTGCACCAGTTGCCGCACAAGACTACCAAGCCTGATGGAACCGTCAGCGACTTTGCCGATAACCTCAAGAAGATCAAGGGGTTTGGCAACAAGAACAAGTCAAGCGAGGCAGAGCTTCTCTTCCAATTCTTTCGATTCTATGCTCACGAATTCGACTACGACAAGCACGTCCTCTCCGTGCGTCAGGGCAAGCTAATCACCAAGCCGGAGAAAAAGTGGCATTATGCTATGAACAATCAGCTTTGCGTAGAGGAGCCGTTCAACACGTCTCGCAATCTTGGCAACACGGCAGATGAGTACTCGTTCCGCGGTCTTCACTTGGAGCTCCGAAGAGCATTCGATTTAATTTCCGCGGCCAAGCTCGAAGAGGCCTGTGAGCAGTACGTGTATCCAAAAGAGGAGGAGAGGGTTTGGTCTCGACCGGCTTCACAACCCCGACCCGTACTGCTACGCAGCTCCTCGCAATCCAACACCGGCGGGCGAGGCGGTCGTGGCAACCATCGTGGCGGCGGCCGGCATAGTAACAACTACCACCGCAATGGAGTGTCAAATAGGAATAGAGCGTCGTCAACCACGCCCAATTATGACCCCAACAGTATGTTTGTTCAGCCCGTCAACATGCCGCAAGACATGTGGTTCGCAACCGGCAACCAGTACCCGTTTCCGTATGCTCAGCTGCCTCAGCAGGAGTTGATGCAGATGGCTTACCAAGATGTCATGCGTCAGCAGCTGCAACAGCTTTATGCGCAGCAGACGCCGGCATTCATGGCTCAACAGGCCATGAGCCAGCAGAGGATGTCTCCCAATGCCGGGTCATCTAACCAGCAGACGGCCACCGACCGGTCTCGAACAAACTCGTTTGACACCGCACCCATCAACACCACGATGCGGCCTGAGCTGTACGCCCTCTACGGCATGGGCATCAATCAACAATTTTACGCGCAGGCGGCAACGGGCTATGGAACTTATCCTTCTTCGCCGGTAACGTCCAACGGCCTGGGGCAGGAGTTTCGTCGCCCTTTGCAGAGGTCCAACGTTGCATCGGATAACGGTATCTCGGCTTCATCCAGCTCGCTGAGATCGCAGTCCCAGCCTCCGTCGCGATCGCCTTCTGCCGCACACAGTCGGGGGGCGGCCTATACCTCTGGGACCGGCCCTTCGAGTGCACCGGGCTATGCCCCGAGGCACATGAACGGCGTGCCTATTCCCAGCTTCGTCTCCGACGGCGCCGATCTCGACGATCGATCCAAGGCCGCCTCTGTATCGCCGCGGTCCGACGAGGGCAGGTCGAACGGGCTCCTGGGATCCCGGGGCTCGGGTCTTGGCCAGCCACAACTCGCCCCGAATCACAGCCCCACTGCAAACGGCCTTGCCTTTGGAGATGTCGTCAGTCAGTCATCCAGTCCCAGGCGTCGTCGGCTGTCTACGGATCAGCTGCCCCAAACCATCCTAGACAGGAGGATGAGGAGAACGTCGCGGTCGCCCTCGCCGCTCGACCACAGTCGGGCCATGGCAACAGGGACGACTGCTTCGTCGCCCCTCGCCTCGGCTCCGTTCCCGGGTGTTGGTCAGGCTCAGAACAAGAACTTGGCGAGACCCGTGGTTGTAAATGGATCCGGGCTCAAGACCAGCATGCTTGCTGCGTCGAACCAGGCGCAAAAAGAGCCCCTGGCACCCGAGGAATGTGCCAGTGCAAAGATTGATAACGCTCTGCATATCAATCCGACGCCGTCAACGAAGAGCACCAATGCTGCGGACGCGTCGAGCGGCCAGCCGATGCCATCTCTTGCACCCGCCCCCTCCTTGCCTACGGCTGTGGCGGATCGTCCTCCAGTCATTGTCAACGGCTCCAATGCCAAGCCGGCTGCTCCCTCTACTGAGGATGCCTCGTTCAGGGATCGGATTGCAATGATGAGTTCGCATCAAGCAGGCGCATATGGGATGACGCAGGATATTCTGCAAGCCAACGAAATGGCACAACTGCCACCTTTGGCGAAACAGCGCCTCATGTCCAGACAGGCCCAGAACGGCGTCATTGCCCCCTTGGACCTTGCCATAGCCGACCACCGTAAAGCCTTGGGTGTCGAGCAGGCCCATTTGTCGCCAGTCTACGAGGCGCAGACATCGTCTCCGACAATGCTGCGAAAGCCAGATATTCCCGCACCCGTCGTCGGTAAGGCTACTCGTGAAAAGGCAGATGCCAAGGCGACGCGCGAAGAGACGGCCAAGCCCGCGCCCAAGCCCGCGCCCAAGGCGGAGGACAAGCTTCATCCGGCCCCGGAGGCTCAGAAGCAGTCCAACAAGACGCAGAAGTCGGCTGGCCAGAACCAGCGTAACAATGCGCCACGGGAGAATGGCGGCCACGTGCGGAGTGCCAAGAGCGAGAGCGATAGCAGCTGGCAGAGAGCCGGTGGCAAAGGGAAGAAGAAGGGATCGAGTGGGCTTGCGCCAAATTCACACCCAGAGCAGTTACCAAAGAGCGAATCGGAGCGAAAGGGAGGTTGAATACGCGAATACGCATCTCGGATAGCGACGACGTCGATGATTGTTTATTTTATTTTTATTTTCACATGTTCCATGGGGGGGCACAGGAGACTAAAGCATTGCGGCTGCTGGCACAAGGCGGCATGAAATTCGAAAGTGATACCACAGCTACAGGAAGCTCGATAGCTCATCTCCCTCAACTTTGAGATGAGGAGGAGGACGGTGGCGATGTTGGATAGGGAATCGCCCACGGCATGCATGCGACAATCAAAGTCGGATTCTTTTTTGTTGGGAGGGAGGGAGGGAACGACGCTCTGCTTTGTACGATGCCATTTCCTGATGAAAGATGACACAGCCGCAGAAAAGAAGGCTTGGACATTATTCCGGATCTGCCTGTGGGAGAATTTGCATTGCGGAAAGATTGATTTGTGGTGCACGCGTGTACGTATGGCCCTGACGCATGAGGACTTGTGGGAAGCGAAATCAAAGCACGAAGAGAGACACGAAAAAGCACAAAAAAAAGAAGACAGAAGAAGATGGAACCATACAAAGGACAGAAAATGCAGCTCCATGAATGACACGTCACAGCAAAGATTCGGGATGAGCCGACGGAAAGGGCACGGTGAAGGGGGCTTCTAAGGAGGATTGATACATATACATGGCCGGGTGGAA